GATTTGAAGGAGTTTAGAGAAGGTGACTCTCTAATATCCTTAGGCAAAGAGTTCCAGAGCTTGGGGGCATATTAGTGTAACTGTGAAAAAATGCCATTTCTGAAGGTATTGCCAGCACCCCACAAATTCTCAGAAGGAAGCAGTAACAACTCATATTTAGATGCAATCAGTTGATCAAATTTATTCTTCCACGGCACCTTGCAATCAGAGGATTCTCAAGACACTCTGCAAAAATTACAGCTGGGGGGAAAAGACGAAAAATGCACAGAAGTGAATAAAAGAATAATACAAAAAAAATGTGCTAAATTATTAAATCAAAAGAAAGAAACAGTTACGAACCGAGGAAAAACAAGTACGTTTTTGAGGCGAGACGGGAAGTGTATCCAAAGACAAGGGCCTAAGGTTGAAAAGGCTCTTCTCCTAAAATATGATGTGAAGGTTTTGGAACGTCGAGGAGTCTAGAGCCAGCGGGATAGAGTGAGCGAGCTGGGACCTGTAGGGATATTACCTCTTGAAGGAGACACCGCAGACAACCATGTACTGCAGCATGCACATGTCCAGACAGTTTTACAGTCTTCAGCACCATTACCTTTCCATCCTGTTGCTCTGCTGCAATATGTGTCTGCCTTTTAGCGTGCAAGATGGCACATTGGTGATGTGGGTCAGGTGCAATCTTTGCTTCTGATGTCTTTTCCAAATGACAACTCAGATCACCAGATCAACTCGGATCACAATCACCTGATTTTCCCATCATGCCTCACCATACTCATCCATGTGTATTCCGTGTTTTAGCTGCATTTTCATTTAATTATTAATTTTATTGTCATTAAATGGTGATTTTACATGGTTTCCACTACTCCTGTCATTGATTCCATTATGCCCTTAGTTTTGAAGTTAAGGATTAAGATGAGCAAAACGGAGCAAAGTGATGAAAACCTGGATCACAATTTAGAAGCTTTGTTAGTTTCTTAGTGCTTCAAATTTAAATTAATAAATTTCAGATTAATACATGTATTTCATTAAAAAAATACAAGTATTTTGCCTTTATTGTGTGATTAAAACCCATAATACTGTAATGATGGCTGGTGACCCGTACTGTGAAATGATGGGACCTGCTGTTTCCGTGCTGCCTGGGTTTGAGGACAGCTTGTTTCATTCAGTCATTTCTCCTGAAAAGAGAAAAAAAAAGTGTTATAAATTATTTTGTTTTTGTGAGCTCAGCTGGTGTTGCTCAACACAAGCCAATTATAAAACCCTACCCAGCACAGCTCTGAGTTATGAGGAAACCCGATTCAATCATGGTAACGGCGACAAAGGGAAAATTCAGCAAAACAAACCTGTTAAATTATGAAATCTGGTTAGCCTCAGAATGTATCATTTTAAAATAAATGTTCCCTTGACGTCACTATGGAAACTGAATCTGGTGGTAAAGGCCTGGGCTCTAATCCCCACTTTGGAAATCAGCGTGTCCACAGAGCAAATTGTTTTGCGAAGTACAAAGAAGCTGAAATTTTATCTTTGGGGTTGTAAAGTTCCAGTAATTTCCCATTCCCACTCATAGCTTGGCTGCAGCGTCTCGCTAACAGGAGCAGAGTTTTCTGCAGGGACCTTTGCAAGGTGTCAGGTGTGTGAGAACACGATGTGTGGATCAGACAGGACACTTTTTGGGGAAAGATCCCTAAGAATTTTTCCTTATCTTTCTCCTTTTCAACAAGGACATTCAATAAGGGCAGTTCATTTGCGTAAACTTCACTCGGTTTGTGTCTTCCCTTAAGTAAGATCCCATAGTAAAATTGCAGATGCTGCACATCTGTTTTGACACAATGTACATCCATTCATTTTCTAACCCTCTTATCCAATTATTGTCATGGGGGAGCTGGAGCCTATCCCAGCAAGCCATGGGCTGAAGGCAGGGTACACCCTGGATGGGACGCCAGTCCGTCAAAGGGCAGACACAGACACAAACACACACACTCACACCAGGGCCAATTTTACAGATGACAGTTGACCTCCCAGTATGACCTTGAACTGTGGAAGAAAACTTGAGTACCTGGAAGGAAGCTCACACGGATACAAGGAGAACATACAAGCTCCACGCAGATGGAGCCCCAAGGTCCAGAGTAGACAGTAGGAGGGGACCCACATTATCTCCCACAGTTGGGACCCCCAGATGGAGATGGATATAGTTTCTGCACCAATATTCCCACGAAGAGCAGATCGGGTAATTAAGTGAGAAAACTGCTATACCAATTGAATTAAGGTGGAGCTTGAGGGAGACCAGATTGTGACAGGCCAGTGTAGAATTTAACTGTGGCATAAATGTTAACACCAATAGTTTTATAACAGATCTTTAATGATAAGTAGTCAGGACTTCAGTTTAGTGTGTCATCTGAAAGACAACACTTCCTACAGCACAGTGCAATTCTGATCCAGAGGGAACAGCGCCTCTTACTGGTCCACTAACAGCAAGGAGCAGCAACCTGGCTTTCTTGGGAGGTCTCCCATCCCAATGATGGCCAGGCCCTGCCTTGCTTACACGCTTACCTTCTAGAAAGCGATAGCTTTCCTGCTCTTGTACAAGTTTGTTTTTTTTATGTTAATGAGTGTCTACTTTGGACTTCACAGAAGTCCTTAACAAGGGAGACAAGTGACCCAAAAGCATTCAGTTACAGCCCAAACCAAACATCAGCCAAGCTGCCCTCCTCTGAGGGAGAGAAGCAAAAATGAGCAAAATCAATGTCTTTAATTTCTTGGAGGGAGTCTCTCGAGACTGGGCTTCCCGTTTGTAATAGATTTCAAGGCCGATGTCTGCAAGACCTTCCTGTATCGCTTACAGGGTATAATAAGCCCTGCAAGGTTAAAAATAATTGTGCAAATTCCACGCCAGCAGCAAAAAGCATCCATAATCAATGGAAAGTGTAGTTCTCAGAGAGCTGTATTGTCTCCTACAAGCCTTCCTGTTACAGGAAAGTGAATTTTTTTTAGAGCACAGACCAATAGTGTGCCGGAGGAAAGAGAAATTGTCTTTCAAATTTTCAATACAGCCTGCCTTTTCCCAATCATCGTTTCAGAATGGAGACATTCATTTACACACTGCGCATTGTTCTCCTCGCAGTGGGTACAAACAGACTGACAGTTCAGGTGTTAATGACCAAAACCCCTAATGTATCTAAATACAATGAAGTGAGACTTATAGCATATGTTTTTATTTAGGGGGAAAGAGAGAGAGAGAGAAAGTTGCAAAACGATCAGGCAAGGAGAACAGGAGGAGAGGTGTGGAAAGCTAAACCAGCAAATGAATAAAGATGAGTTAGAAGGAGATGAGTCTGTCGTGGAGAGAAGGGGAAAGATGTGATCCAGGTTTCAGGATCATTTGGTTTTGGATGTCTTCCCGCAACAGGAATTCTGAAACCCCTCTGTGAGGGAAATATTGGTTTGGAGAGATCTTTGATCCTCACAACTCTGACATATTCCCTGAAAGGATCTGTCAGTCTTGTTCCTGTCTCACCAATGTAAATGGCTGGGCATTTTCTGCATGATGTCCTCTGGATGGCTTGGCATGGTCCAAAGGGGTGTATTGAAAAGGCTAAACTTGTGCTCTACAGCAGAT